CTTACAATTTTTGTTCCACTGGAGTCAGTGGAAACACCTTAACAGACACTGCCTCGGGCATGCACAGGGCTAGGGTATACAAATGCTTTGCCAAGGGCAAAGAGGATGAACAAACACACACTACAGGCAATAAATAACCTCACAAAAGCAGCAGATGGGAAACAAAGTTTATCCCACTCAAAGAATCAGTCCAAACTCCTGGATTCCCCAAACCTCCATGTACCTCGGCTGCCAGCATTACCGTAGCTGGATCAGGCAATCACACCATTACAAGCTTCATTAAACCTTTCTATATGGCTAAGTATATAATACTGGTTTAATCACATCATCAGCAAGTATTTTTTCCCCCCACAAACCCCCTTTGTCACCCAGTATTGAGAACAAATACCAAGAAACACACTGTTCCTTGTGAAACGATGCTCCTGGTCGTGAGAGCGCGGTCTGATCCACTGCAGAGAGTGAAAAGCGCACAGGAATGAGGAAGGCCGGCATACGGGCACCTGTCATAGGGGTGTCCTGAAGAGCAACCTCACTCACAAGCAGCAAGTGCTAGTGCTCTGGCACAAGTATGAGGTCACATCTTTTAATTTTCAAATATCAAAACTTAATCAGTATTTCAGCCTGGTAAGGAGAGGTAAGAGGTAAGGCAGCAGCAGCCTGCAGGTCCAGTCCTGACTCTTCCAAGTAGTATCAAGCCAGACACATACAAACCAGAAACCCTTCTGACTGCTACTGTCTGTCACCTTTGATTTCAGCTGCCCAGGCACAACAATCACATTACAAAAAAAAAAAATTATCAACAGCCGAGATGTACGTAACTACTAACGGGAGAAATCAACTACAATTACGAAACAGAGGCAGTCCACATCAAAAAACCCTAATGATTTCTAAAAACTTCCTATCTTACAGATAACACTTTATCTGCATTACCCATACAGAATGATAGCTCATTTTTGTCTTATCTAATATTGTATCTTCAATATTACATTAGAGGGCACATACAGATCCTTCTGGGAAACAGCACTTCAATTGTAATGAAGAAAACCTCTTTTCTTAAGTAAACCTGAAAGGGGGGAGGAGGGCAGCGGAATATCAAGTAGACCTAAACACTGGTCCATGGCTACTATATTCCCCCATGCAGCCCAGTGTCAAAGCAATTTACTTGTATGATTTCTACTGATACATCAAGAACGCTAAAGCAAAGAAGAAAAAACATTTGGCTCTTGTTTGCAATAAGATCAACTTAAATTTCCTCCGTTTTTCAGCTATAGCTTGTAAGCTCTGTTAAACACCTGGAAAAGTGAAGTTCCTTTACAGCTGCATGTGTAATTAATGCATCTGACAGGCTGTTGTGTTCCCAAACAGCTGTTTCCATTATATGGACAACTTTGCCATCTGCAAAACTACCGGGTAAACTACAGTAAGTAAATATCAGGATAGCAGGTGCTAATAAATAACAAGCCCTGCCAAGATAACACACTTCTGTAAGGAAAGTTTTAACTTTTCTGTAGCCCTGAAGCAGGCAAGCTTAAGACAGTCAGGAACAGAGGAATTAGTGTGGTGACTCATAGGAGCCGTAAAATAAGAGTTGTGAATACAGAGACATTTGCCCCAAACAAGTCCAATTAACCTCCACTGTACTAAGCCAAAGAGTTAGTTCAGTAAATTTGAACCTAGAAGTGAGTCCCCTCACAATACATAATAAGCCACAGCTACACGTATTAAATGTGGTAAATAAAACAAGTTGAAAAGTGTCAGGTAAGTCTAATCTATGTTAACACATCTTAAACCAAATTTTCTACTTAATGCCCGTGAGCATGATCTTTACTACACTTACCATCCAGCACTGACACTTAAACCAAAAAGTTTGCCCATGCACCCAAGGCCAGATCAAAGTTGGGCATCTGCTTGATGTAGCATCAAAACAAAGCTGAAAACATAAATCAGTAACTGTTCTGACATTCAGTATCTCATGAGCTACAAGGAACGATGATTTTACATTTCAGCCTCAGCTGAAATATAAAAAAACAAAACTAAACAAGCTGTTACTTGTGCGACCAATTTTGCCAGAACAGTCACATAGGCAGGTATGATCCAGCTCCAGATTTACAAAACTGCCTAAGTTTCAGGTACATTCATACACTGAAAGAACAACCAATTCAGTAGTACTATGCTTTGAAGAGCTCCATGTGGTATTTGGAAGGCGACTGTCACTATAGTCTCCAAAAACTGGCTGAGACTATCCTTTCCAAAGCATAAATCCTGATATAAATGGACAACTAAAACCCACAGCTTTTAAACAGACTATTATATAGGATAACTTTTGAAATGCTAGGGTTTGGGTTTTTTTAAGAATTATCATTTAAGGTCTCTAATTGTTCTTTCTATTTTAGATATTAAATAAGGCAAAGCTGTTTGTTGGTTTTTTTTTTTAAATATATCACACTACATATAGTACTTTGATATACTGAATAAAAGTGTGCTTCTCATGCGATAGCCTAGTTATTACTACAGATGTTACCCATTCTTGTCCTACAAAGTACTCTTACTAGCCTCTCAATGTCTTAAAAATAAACAGAATGCATTGAAATATGCAACACAAAGTCTGTATACTCATTCCCCCTGTATTTCATTAATATCCTTTTTGAATTGCATCATAGCCCCGAAACTACTCCCCCTACCCTCCCCTGGCAGCCATGTGGCTATTCAGGCCATCAGTAATGCATGAGCAATCAAAGAGGGAGGAAAAGGCCCTTATCTCAGCTCATCAAAAATACAAGCAAGCAAGCCACAAAGGGGTCACAAATTAAAAATTAAATGCGGACAGACAAAGTGTATTGACACATCACCACATCTAAATCCTCGCTTCGATGCAACAGAAAACACCAGACAAGAGAAGAACAGAAGGCAGCCAAAAGGCATAATGAAGTAACACTGACTCAAGAAGAGTATTTATCAGTGAAGAATTAAGCACAAAATACACAAGCACCAAGAGAGTCTTTGCTGCTGATGGTAAATCCAGCAGCTAATACCCTCACCCAGGCAACACAGCTGCTGTTAGAAACAGGGGCAACCTCTCCATGCCTGCTGGTTACTGCAAACCCTAGAAAGGATGCTAGTAAAGTTCAGAAGAACCATTAGGTAGAAAGTAGCTACTTAAATATCACTTAAACAGTATCTTTTATTTCAGCTGTAGAACAGAAATCAAAAGACAACAGAGATAAGAAAAAAACCCACTGGTTTTCTCCTGGAACATTTGACTGTGTGTACGAGCGCAGAAGATGCTGAAATGTTCTGCTTTCTGAAATCAGGAACCAGTATTACAAAAAAAATGCTCTTCAAAGCTCCAAAACACCCTAAGTTAATAAAAACCCCATTAGAATAACTCTGCCAAAGCTATTTCATTACCAGCTGAGTTTACCTTGATAATGACCTAAAGAAGTAATTAAATCACTGCAGACTTCATTGCACTACAAATTTAGAAGTTTTCATGTATAAATGCTAAATGGTTTTATTTTTTCTGAAAGTAGCAAATGAACTATTTTTTCTTCAGTGCCAATGACCTGCTGCTAACAGCAAGAAACATAAGCAAACATGAAACACTGTGAATTAATAAATCCCTACTTAAAAATCCTTCCTGTCCTCTATTTTCCCACCATACCAAGTTTCTGTCAGTGCTGAATCTTACTGATTTTAGAAGACATGAACACGAATTTGTATTCTGAAAAGTGACTCTACAAACTTTAATGTGGTATTCATACAAACATTATTGTAGTATTCTATTTTATATCTGAATAATATTAGATTGGTTGGCTCAGTGTATAACAAGAACTTGCCTGTTAAGTACTTGTGTAGTCTGAAAGTCTCCCTTGCTCAAGTATCGCAATAAATAATTTAAAGTGGGAATGTTTCTTTAAATGCCCTAAATATTTTCAGATTTATTATTCTTGCTTACTCTTGCTGTCCTGTATAAGGTTATTAAAAGTTACAACTCTGGAATCTCTCTCAAGTAACAATTGTAACAGAAACAAATCCATCTTTTACACTTTGTAACACCTCACTAGTATTTCAAAGGTAATTTGAAGAAAGCTTTTAAATACACATTTCTTTAAATGTTTCTATAAAAAGTAATAAGCATGCCCAAAAAATTCAGGATGGGAACAAGCAATCTGAAACATAACGGTGCTCAGAGACCAGTAATAATTGCAACAATGCAATGTTTACTTAGTTGATAAAATCAGATGTGAAGACTGAAGTATTTTTGACCAGCAAATAGACTATGCTCAGATCAGAGAGGGAAAGATGCCTATCCAAGTTCTGTCTCTAGATACAGCCAGCACAACGCTTTACGGAACTGAATTATGCTCATGACAATGAAGTTTCTTCCAACAAAACCAATTTTTTCAAAATGTAAAAAACTGCATTAACATTATCTGCCTTTTTTTTAAACATTTTTTAAAATGCAATGCGAGACACACAATCTGAAAACACTGGCCATGCCACAGCTGTTGAATACAAAGCTACTTCTGAGACCGGGTGCAAATGGTTTTTAGCAGCAACTAAAAATGGTATGGAAAGGCATCAAGATCCCTGACAATGTCAACTCCCCTATGTTTCTTTCCTAGAAACAGGTTTGGAGGCAGCATAAGCTCTTGATTCTCTGCTCTAATATCCCACTGCCCTCTGCTACTGTGTTTACCGGGAGATGCAAGGACACAATATACTTTTATTTGATATCCATATAAGATGCTAAACACGTAACATGGAAAGTACTATTCTGCTCGGGAGTCAACGCCCCCTTTGAAAAACAAGGGCACACCTCAGTACTGCAGTATCTCCTCTCAAGTAAAGCACCATTTTTACACTTAAAAGTCCATTTACGTATGCATTATGCTCCTCAACTTCATACAAACTCAGCAATTTTGACAGTGTCAAACACTCAGAGGTCTGCGGTATCACAAATCAAACATTCTGTGTAATTCAGTTGTGTATTGTCTTACCTTATTTGACCATTTGTAGGCTTGAAGAAGTTGGCTGTAAAGAGGTGTCTTATCCTGAACAGGATCTAGGCTCAGCAGTCCGCTGTTGTGCAGGGGATGGTTCTCAGACGGTTTCCCAACCAGGTTGCTCAGCCGCTCCAGTTCACTGGAAGAAAACAGAACGGTGTTTTATTAAAGTCAGATCTGCGGATACAGATACCCGAGATGTACAATCCTCCTGCAGGGACAGCAATCATACGGGAACTCTAATTTAGTACCTACGTGAGTTTTAAATACCTGCCCAAGTCAATAAAAAAAAACTTAATCACTGTCATCACCCAACCAATTTAAAGTGGTCTGTAGCTGTTCAGCTCAGTGCTGCTAAGGAGAGAAGGTAGAAGTCAAGAGTCTTTGTAAGACAACCCGGGAAGAGTCACACTATGGTGGGTCTTGTTCACAAGCACTTCCAGAACGCAGGGCTTCTTCTGAGCAATGGATACTCTCAGAAACTTTTAAATTCTGACTTGAGCAATGGCTGCAATACTAGGGGCAATACCAGAAATATTTTTTTACCCATCAAGCAGGCAGCTGCCTCATCATTTCATTAAAGATCTAGAAATTTAAACTGTCTCCATATAAATATATAGGAGAACTGGCATCAGTCCTGAGCCTGGAGATGGTCCAGCAAAGTCTGTGGTTACTCTCAGAAAGTACACACATCCCAAGTTCTCAGGGCACAGAAGCATCTTCCGTTTTCCACGAGCATTTTGTACATTTCTAGATGTGTATAAAATACTCTACTGAAGCATATTAAGCGCACTTTTCCCATGGAAAAAAGCTCACTGTTAAACGATCTATTATTGCTTCCTACCTCATTTGTCAAACACTACATTTAACAGGAACAAAAGTTAAGCAATTTTTAAAACTTGAATTAACCAGCTGTAGAAGAAAGACTAGCTACTTTGCACAGATATAAAATGCAGCTTTTCAAGTGCCATGACAAATCAGGTGCTTTCCCGTTTGACTTAGGAAGTTCAGAATTTCCACTAGATGAAAAGCAGGATTCAGACCTTTCAAAGGGTGACTCCTGAAAATCTCTGCGAAGAAAAATCCAAAAAAACTCCATTTGCATTTAATGAAGATTATGAATGTAAATGCCAACAATCAGTGAACTGGCAGTTAAGAGACTTCCACACTTCCCTACCACAAAATTCTCCTTTATTTATCACCATTCCTTCAAGTTTAAATAGCCTACATTCTTTCCAAGCCTCTGGTGCTGTGAACATCATGAATGTGCTTAATATTTCTTGACAAAAGAATACAATAAAATAAATGTGAATAGACGTAAAAACTAAGGATTTGTTGAACAGGGACCCCAGTCAATGCTTTCATGACATGAGCCAAAATCTACTGATACCATTAATTTCAATCCACCTCAGAATATTCCCTTGCTACTTGAAATCTGTGCCTCCTAAACATGTAACAGAATATGTAACACTTAGACGCTATAAAGATTACAATATTTTTGGGCACTTATGTTTCAAAACAGAAAAATTAAACACACTCCAAAATATTTTTAAAAAAGTTCTCTTGCAAGGAATCAGGAAAGAAACGGTCACCAAAGCACTGATAAGCATATCCACTAACGATGTGGAAAAGACGGTGAAGAAGGAACTGGTGAAGTCTGATGAAGAAGCTACTCTCAGGTATGATTGTAAGGACACAGCCTGACTGCAAAGCATCGCACAAGAACTTCACCGCACTGAAATAATGGATGATAAACTGCAAAGTAGAGAAACTACACGAGACCATATACGTCAGAGCCAATTGCTATCTATTATTGTTTGGGAACAAGATTCCAGACTGATGCTAGGTAATTCCTTAAAAAGCTACCAAGCAAGACAAGAAGGATAACCAAAGGAATAGCACAGCTTCCACATACGGAACCATGAAGCCTCTTTCATCTTTCCTAAGAATTTCTATCTTTCCTAAGAATTATTATCTCCCATCCTTCCCAACAGAAGGGGAGAAGTAGATAACAAATTATATTAACAGTCAGAACAAATGAAGAATCAGCAAGGCCCATTAGCCAACAAGAAACAACTTTGTGTTCACAAGACCCTGAACCCTAAATCTCTGGAGGACAGAAGATGTGCAGCTGGGAAAGTGTGTTTCCCTGCCTGTCCTGCCCCTGGGCACCTCCCTGGCCAGTGCTGCTGGCTCCCAGGAGGATACAGCTGGACCATGCTGGCAGGATCCACATGGACCATTTGCCTCACCAGTTTGTCTCCATTTACGTGAAACACACCAGCTTGTACTAAACAACCGTATTTACATACACTAACTTTCCAGCCGCAAAGGTTTTGCTAATAAAATGGTCATTCTTGAATGACTTGGATGCTACTGAATAGTTTGAGCGTAAGAATTGTTAAATGTAACAAAAAAACTTTAAAAAAAAAAACAACACACACAAGAAAAACCTTCCTGCAATCAAGAGCATTCACCTTGCCAACGCAGTCCCACCGACAGCTCCGTTTTTAGAACAAAAAAAGAGAACAAACCCCATGTAAATCCTATGGGCAGCACTCATCCCTCTGGAGACTCTGGATGAAACACAGGGAGGGATAACGCGCACCATGCTGAAGGAATGACCAGAGCGTCTTCCCATTCCTTCGCCTAAAACTTTCCGCGGGAGTGGAACGGCCGCCGAGGGGGCAGCCCCGGGGGAGGTGGGGACCCCTCTCCCTCCCCGCGGGGCCCGGCAGCACACCGGCACGGG